CCAAAAGAGATAAGGAATAACAAAATTCCCAGTGCAGTTTCATCATTACTCCTGGTTTATGGTTAAATCCATGGGATTTCTTTTGGAATTCTCTCCCCAGCGAGAATTCCCAAATTTGCCCAGCCCAGCGCTGCCACTGGAGTTTGGGAATCATCCCCAAAAATCCAGATTATTTGATTTTTTGAGGGTCAGTGATGGAATACTTTTGTCAATTCCCATTCCCATTCCATCCCAGAAAACCCCTTCCCGTTTTCTCCCACAATTCCAACCCTTCGGGATCCACAACAGCTCCAACTTGGGAATTTTGCCTTTTTTATTCTTTTTAATTGGATTTTCCAGCTGCATCCCCTGATTTTCCCTCTTCCACGGGCTTTGTTGCTGGAAGGGAATCCCCGCTCCACTCAGGAATTCCCAAATTCCCACCTCAGGGCTGGAATTCTGGTTGCCCATGGCAACCTCTCATTGCTTAAAATTCCTTTTTCCTCCCAAACCCAGCAATTCCATATTTTTCCCAGGAAGAAAATCAGGAATTTATGGATTCTTGACCTCCAGGCTCCTTTATTCCCTTTTCCCCTAAATTTTCTTTCATTTATCCCTTAAAATTCCTTTCATTTCCAACGAGCTCCTTGTGCCACTGATTATCCCACGCCAAAATGATTCCAAACCCTCTGGAATCTTGGAAAACCACCTGGAAGTGTCTGAACTGGGAGCAGCTCCCTGGAATTGTGCTCCACTCCCAAATATTCCTATTTATCCACGCATTCCACGAAGGAAAAATAAAGGTGCTGGAGGGGTTCCCTCAGGATTCCCTCCCTGGGTTTTCCCCCTTTTTTTTTATGGAATGCCGAATTTAAAGTGATGGAGTGTGAAATCCTGGCCGGGCGTTTCCATGGGAACCGGCCGGGTTTTCCTGCCGAGGATTCCCGCTGACCTCACTCCCGCTGGAATCGCTCCCGCTTTTCCCTCGGTTTCAATTCCCGCTGGTCCCGCTCTCCTGGATTTCTCTCTCTTTCCATTCCAAGGATGGAGAATTCCCGGCATTTCAAAAGTGGGGTAAAACCACTTTTCCTGGTTTTCCCAGGAAAATCCCATCAGCTGTGGGGGAGAATGATTGAAATCTCCGGGAAAGATGGAGAGGGGAATATTCCCAAGGGTATGGAATGATGGGAAAAGGGGGAATAGCATCCAGCTGGCAGAGGGCAGGGATAAATGGGATATTGGGAAGGAATTCCGGGCTGGGATGGAATTCCCAGAGAAGCTGTGGCTGCCCCTGGATCCCTGGAAGTGTCCTAGGAAAGGCTGGAAGAGGACTGGGATAATGGGAATGTTGGGGTTGGAATGGGATGAGCTTTAAGATCCCTTCCCAATCCAAACCATTCCAGGAGCAATCCAGGATCATCCCATCTTGACCATTCCAGAGTCAATCCCACAAAAAAAAAAAAGGGGGGATTTTAGGATAAAAAAGAAGATAGAAATGGGATAAACGATCCATCCTGGGAATGATCTGAGCAGCCGGAGCCTCCAGGTTCCTCCTGGAATGGGAAAGCTTTTCCAGGAAGCTCCTCTTGCACTCCAGATTATCCCAGGAGAAAAATAATTCCTCCTTCTTTCCCGTAAAAATGTTTTCCAGGCTGGAAAGAAAAAATTCCAGTGTCTCCGTCCATGGCAGGGCTGCAAGGGGATGCTCCATAAAATCCCATCAATCCAAACAAATTCCATGAAGGAAATTCCCTTCTCCCATTTTTCCAGCGGTGCTTTCCCTTCCTCGAGCAGGAACAAATGGATCAAAAGCTCCGGCAGGAAAATCCATCCTGAAAAGTCATGGAAAGGGCACATAAATAAGGGATGAGGCAGGAGGAGGCAGAAATGAGGGAAGAGCAGCGGAGCCTCATTATCCCAGATCCCAAAATTCCTCAGGAGGCTCCAGCGGAGCTGAGCCGGTGAATATTTTATAGGGAAGCTCCCGCTCCTTTCCTGC